TGTCTGTCTCTCTTGGATGAGTTGTAGTGAAATGTATTTCATTGTGTTCAGTACAATGACTAATAAACTGATACTGATTCTTATATATATTATTAGTGGAGCAGAGTTGAGCTGAAGTGCATTTCTGACTGAAATCAATTATTTATGCCTCAGTTTTCATTTAGCTACATGTTGGATTAAATACACAACCCTGAAAATTAAAAATGTTTTAAAAAATGTCTAACCCTCTCCCCCTTACATTACAGTGAATTATGTTTGTGTATATTTCTACTGCTACCAAGGTTTATCACACTGTTTTTAAATTAACCATACTTTTATTGAAATGTTTTCAGTGTTTTCTCTCATATCTGTGCTACATGATGCAGGCAAACATTTAGAACAGAGAAGTAATAAGATGTGATTTAAAATTTCTTAACAACCTGTATGTGATTGTATCCTAAAACCACACACACACACACGTAAAAACAATAATTAATAAAAAGTAKTTTAAGAAGGTTGTTTCTCCTTTATTACAGCTCCTTTTCCTTGTGGAAAATTTCTTCATCTAACTTCTTCATCCATTTCACTTGAACATCTGCCGTCACTCCCTGGTCCTTCAGATTCTGTTTCAGCTGAAAAACAATATAACTTAAAATGTTGTAAAGATCATTTAATACAAATGTGTCAAATAAAAACTGTTGTCAATTCATTCTGACTTTTAAATCTGAGAAAATGGAAAACGTCTGTTTTAAGGCAGGTGTGGCTGAAAAACTGWATAAATGCAGCAGATATGAAAATAGAAACGTTGTGGTCACAAAGTGTTTTTCAATAAAAGGAGCTGCTTTAAGAACCAACATTTTGTTTTTTACACCTGACCATATAAAACTGTTCATTATTAAGCCACCTGTTTGATCACCTGACCAATAAATAAAGTATGAAATCAAACCTATCAATTTTATTTTACATTTACAGACTTTGAAAATATGAAAAACAAGTTTTTCTCAGAAAACATGCGAAACTAGTCCTGAGCTTTCCAATAGTCATGACTATCAGACTCATGTTTGTTACAGATCCAGAAACTAAAGACTTTGGATTGTATAAATGTAAAATATATAAACTCTTCATGACTCACCTGTTTTAGGAAGTCTTCCTGAGCAGCAGGTCCACTCARATCTGAAGCAGGGTCCGACACAACCTTCAGTTTCACAACTTTCTTATAAGTGGCTTCAAAAGAGAAACACAATTAATTCGTCAAATTTTCTGACAAGTATCACAATTTAAAAACTACAATTAACCTTAGTTAGAAAAACAAAGTTTTAAATTTGACAATATGGTTTCTTCTGAACATTTTGAATAGAATAGAATAGAATAGAATAGAATAGAAACAGCCTTTATCGTCCTGCCAAGGGGAAATTCAAGTGTCACAGCAGCATCAGTACAGAAATTCACACACTAGTTTACAAACTATAGACAGTACACAAAAAATGAAATTACCACTAGCAATTATACAACTACTACTAATAAAAAAACAATATAAAGGATTGTGCAAGACTAAAAAAGATACGTTTTGTTTTAGAGAGTGTAGTTACCTATCAGAATTTGACATTAGGAATAATAATTAGCCTATTTTAATTAAAATAAATAATTAAATAGAATAATTAAACTCTCTGGGTCAGAGTGACATTAAACTAAACTGTTTAAAAAACACAAAATGCTCAGAACTTAAACAGAACCAGTCATATTATCAAGATGATATTATGATCTGTGTCTGTGTTAATGTTTTATTTTGGTTCTATTCTGGTTTCGTCTCTTGTCTTTCCCTGTTTACCTCCTCCTGTCTGTCTTTGCTCCAGCCCCGCCCACTCTCACCTGCTCCTCAGGTGTTTCTTGTTTTCTCTCATTAGTTTGTCTTTATATTCTGTGTCCTGTCTTCAGGAAAATGACTTCTTTCTGTGTCTACTGAGTTTTTGAGCTGCCCTGTCAGCATTTTTTTCTTTAATAAATCCTGATTTTTGCYTTTATGAAGCTGCCTGCACCCTGGGTTCTTTCTTGTCCGAAATTCATGACAGATAAAAGAGAAGTTTTTACCTTCACAGTAAACTCCAACATCGTCACTGTGAGCACAGTGATTGAGTCCAAACCCACTGTGGGAACAGTCTGACAGGTTCTTCTCACTGCCTGWACAGCCCACATCAGAAAGCCAGATGGATCCAGTTCCTGGACCAAAGTAAGCCTGAGTACGGACCCCATAAGCTTCCMTACAGCCCACCTCTCTGCAGACCACCGCAGCATCGTTCATGTCAAAGCCTTSATCACAGACGGTCCCCCAGASCCCACCGTAGTAGACCTCCACTCTTCCWGAGCAGTTAGTGGGTCCAGCGAGTCGGACCTTCAGAGCTAACAGATGAGACAGGGTTGGTTTAATTAGTGACAGATAGAAAGTGACAGGTTAGAACTCAGGGACATCTTGTCCCAAGAATGAGACAAATAAAAGTTCTTACGTTCACAAACAGCACCAGCGTCTTGAATATGTAGACAGGCTTGATRTCCAAACCCACTGCTGTAACAATTATACAGGTTGTTCTCACTCCCGTAACAGCGCATATAATTCAGCCACACCGGTCCGGTTCCTTCACCGAAGAAGGCCATGGTSGGGGCATCAAGAGCCAGGTCACAGCCCACCTCTCTACAGACCACCTTAGCATCATTGTAGTCCCAGCTGGTACTGCAGATTGTTCCCCAGGTCCCAGCGTAGTAGACCTCTACTGTTCCTGAGCAGTTGGTGGGTCCAGAGAGTCGGACCTGAACATCTTGTGCACGAGAAGACAGAAACATGCATTCTGAGCTCAAAAYCTTCATCTTATACATCATATATTAAACATCTTATTGTTCCATCCTTTCCTAACAGAGCACTTCACTGTCAGACTGCAGGTTTACTTGT